AAAACATTATCGACTACTTCATGATAGAAAGCCCATGTTCACAATGTTGAATTCTTGAAAAACAATAGAGCTTGTAAATGTGTTGCGGTAGATTGGGCACTGAATTGAGCCGTGCTACATCAGGTTTGCTTGCTAATACCATATTAGAACCATCAGGCCAAAATCGCACCGCAACCGCCAGGTCAACTTTCTAACTGGCTACCTTTTGTATTACTCCTTTCTCTGAAACATGGATATAGTGATCAATGTTGCGTGGAACGCTTTCTCCGGGTTTGTTCGCTCAGAATTGCACTTGAGATTGGCTTATTTGAACAAAAAGGCGGCTACCATTTAATCGACAAGTCCATGCTGAACTCTATGTCTGTCATTTGGATCATGGTTCTTAATTGTCGATATAGCAATTATTGTGTTAATGCGAGGTGATAAGACTAAGCAAATTTGCGTGAATGGCGGCCCCAACTGTATCATGCCAGCTCACCTGATACGACAAATTAGTTTAAAAGACCGCATGACCTATAGCCACACGCATTTGCCTACCTCAACAGCAATGCATAGCCTTCTACCGTACTGGTCCTTAACCGCCACTCACCATGCCTAACGAGCCTCCGCGGTCCTGTTTACAAATATAGTGATTTTTTCAACACCTGTGACTTAATTGACTTCATGGGAGACCTTTAGAAAGTGAGGTCAAAGATTGTTGACCACGCACATCGCATACAATTGATGATAATAAAAAATTGACCATACACTTCCCATTCACCGCCCACGACTTTGTTTGGTGCGGCTGTGAATTTTAGGTTTGGCCATCCTCCACTGCGTGGAGCGTGAAGGGACTGGCAAAAAATATGACCCTTGGCGGGGCCAGTTACCAATAGCACCCAGGTCGTGCCCTCCCCTGACTCTTGCGTTTGCCCTCGTTCTGGCATGAGTTTCATATAAACAACGATGAATTGAGACGTATAGATTATTTTTAATGAAATTTTGTTGACTACTGGACACAGGTATGGGGCATTCCAATGGGCGCATTTGCCAGTTCCTCCACGTAATGGAGGCCCGGTGAACCTCAAATTCATGTACCGTCTCAAAAGCAATGGACAGCGACTAAGGGGGTAGGAGTCTGGGTAAGTCCGGATGCTTCTCTTCTGTAGTCAAGAACACTTGATATCACGCAATCCAATTGACAATACATCGCAGATACACCACAATAGATGGTCGCCTGTAGCATTGGTACTATATGGTTGTTTAATATAGGAATATGTACTAGAGTCTACATGATAGTCATTGCCACTGACGACGTGGCATTCCATGCTGGATGCTGCGAGTTCCCATATCAAATCCGTGTTTTTGGTGATGGGGAGATGTATCATTTGTGTTGATTCGGTTGCGGTGTTGAAGGACGTGATTTAAGTTCAGGATGTCCCATGTTTTCGAGCTTTCTATCAAATTCGCCTTTACGATACCCAGAAACCATTCGTTCGATTAACTCCGATGTGGACACACCAGGGGTTCTTCTCGTGGGTATGAATTTTCCTGTAAAGTGTCTCAATGATTGATAGTATATGTACAGAAATATGAAGAAAGTCATTTCATCGATGTTCAGATGTGGGAACAAAGCAAGACTTGTGAGGAGCTCGATTCGATTATGTAAGCAAGCATTGGGACGGTAGGGCTCAGCCAAAGCCCTAATCCCTCGCAATATGTCTCGTAAATATCGTGTCCCATTAGCAATGATACTATTTATATCAGGAAGTGAGTCCAAAGCACGATGTAAAATTCGAAGGAGGTTGACCAAGCACGTCGCTTATGAACAATTGAAAAATTTTGACCTGGCGGTTCTCGGACACCGTAAAAAGGAGGTTGATCATGCACTCTGCTTCAAAAGTTTGGCCATACTACTCTACCACTCGGACACCGTACACGGTACGCTGATATGAGGAAAATCCTAAAGTGTCTTGTTCACTTACTGAACGATCAAAACATTATCGACTACTTCATGATAGAAAGCCCATGTTCACAATGTTGAATTCTTGAAAAACAATAGAG